ATCATTTTGCTGTTCAAGAAATTTTGTTCTCTACTTTTTCAACTGCAATTTGTGCATTTTATTTATGTATTACTTCCTGAAATTTATACTGATCAAGCGTTAAGAAATGATAAGCAAACAGTTGATTATCTATCTATCTATGAAACTTCGGTTTTTATTTTGAAAAGTGCGCCATAACGAGACGGATGTTCTTTCGTCCTTTTTTATTTCTCTATCCTATTCTGATAACTTTCAGCGCCTTTTTTGAAATTCACCCTGTTGCTACTGTAGCGCCACCCTTATTTAGTACATTTTAGCGGACACTTTTTCACACACAAAGACGGTTCTCCCTACTTCTACTCTCCATAATTTCGAGCAAGTGATGCCAATAGGTTTGTTCTGGTTTTACGAAATACAGGTTCTAGGACGTCAGAATCTTGCGCAGTTGATACAGAGCGTTCTGGTTTATTGAGGATAATATCGTATTGATGAATCCTCTGTTCTGGTTCAGACTACGAAATGATCCTAAACTGTCTTGAACCGTCTCGAATCGTTCTTGCTCTCGAGGCTGAACTGTTGAGAACTGTTCACGTTGCTTATGCACATTCATGTGGAAATTTGTCTCCTGTCACTATATAAATTGACAGTTTAAATTCCTCTCTCCCTTCTCTCTCTCTCTCTCTCTCTCTACGATGGCTTCTCGTTTGAGCATATTTGGCCAGGCCCCTGCTGTCAATAATTGACAGGAGCTCCGTCATGGAATGCAACGGTATTACTTAAAGCAATGTTGCCGCCCTAAGTTTTTCATTCATCTTTTCTTTTTAAAAACACTTGATTTTTTACTATTCGTCTTCTCCTCGGGAGACTTTCGGATTTTGAAATCCACATACATGGTCTTCTTTACGTGGGTATCCGAGCCATTACGGTCTGAATACCGGCGTGAATTAAGGGAGCCCTCACTTCATAACCCAAAAGGAAACCCCGCGACAGAACATGGCATCCGCTTACCACCAAAGTTCTTTTACAAAATGATTGTAATCAAATGTACAATACCACTCTAATCAGTAAAATGCTCACCCTTCGTGATAAATAGTTCATAATCCTTTCAGTGAAAACTATGAATTATTTCAAGTCTTGTCATACAATTTTTCGATACCATTTTTGTAGCACAATTTGTCTTTAGCCTCAAAATAGGCCTCAGTTTCGACGTTTTCCTTTTCATCGGCGGTGAATTTATTTCTAGCGAGCATTCTCTTGAGGTCTGAGAACAAAAAAAAGTCGCTGGGGGCCAAATCTGGAGAAAACGGTGGATGCTGAAGCAATTCGAAGCTCAATTCATGCAATTTTGCCATCGTTTCCGTTGATTCAGGACTTTCATGGTGGAACAGCTTAAAACTGCTTAGAATCATTAATTCGTGGTTGTTTCTTTAGAGCCTCAGTCATCTCGATAAACTTCACTTTGCTGTCATCCAAAATTACTTTGTGGACTTTTTGTCGTCGAGAACAGCCTCTTTTGGACGTTCATTGCGTGCAGAAGCCAAGCTTTGGCTTTCACAGTATTTTTTCGCCAAAAAGCAATGCTTTATTCATATATGAAATTTCTTTTTATCAATTTTCTCCAAACTAATGAAAGCTGCTTCACTCAAAATGATTTATCCCACAAACTGATTGTCTGACAGTTGTGAAATTTGTATGTGTCTTTTAGAGGNAACGACAGAAAACTCAAACCCCACACCCGAATTACTCGATGAACAGACTGACCAGACAAAAGCTTTTCTCCCTCACATCCATGGAGTTATCAACAAAGTAAGCCAAACTCTTAAGAGGCATAACTTAAAAACAATATTCACAGTTAATAATCAAATCTCCACTCTTTTACGGACACCCAAGGACACGATATGAAGCACAGGGCATTTACGAAATACCATGTTCTAATTGCCCCAGAACTCACATCGGCCAGATCAATAGAAGAATTTCCAACAGAGCCTATGAAGATGAACTAGCTGTTGAACCTTGAAACAGGTCAAACAAGAAGCTTCAAAAACACCAAAACCAATGCTATGGAGAAATATCTTCAGGTCAGGATAATTCGTGAAGACATTGAAATTGCAAAGCGCCAGGACTGTCTTATAAAGTTAGATGATTCGCAGGGACTGCCGGAATCATGGAGGTCATTGTTGTCTTGCAACACATCTGAAAGTAACTCATGTCAGGAAGTCAAGAATCAATTTCCGGCAGACCGGTTACCTGTTACGGAACCTCTACTTTGTACCTGACCAACAGCATAAAAGGTGTCCCAAACAACAAAGTGGTCAGTATTCTTTTGCAGCCAGTGAGGGAGATAACGATTCCGTTCGCGAGCCATGTAGTTTCAAGTGGTTCTTGAAAATGGCTTCAAAGCCGAAAGATGAAAATTACAGACGCGGTTCAATCCGGACGACAGCATTATTTATCGTTTAATTAAAAAACCTATTGAGGTAATATTTCGTCTTTGAGCATGTATACAGCAGTAGTAAACGAAATGTCAGGCCAAAAACCTGCAAACCACGGCCAAAAAACCCGGAAAATAGCTTTCACGCAGATATCAACGGCCGTGAAAGTTCATAATACATCAAGTTATTATAATATAATGTTTGGGTACATAAATAAAAATCTCTATTATGAAATATATATCTAGTTTTATTCAATTATTGAGTTTTGTAAATTAATCAGCCGTTTGAATGGCTTTACTTCTGAACTTATATGTCATGTGTACTTGAATACATTTGTTTGCAGTCTTACGTACATCTTCTTGGGAAACACTTGGTTGCAAAACTAAAAAGAATAAAAATAAATTAGGTACTCCTAAGAAGATCACCAAGTTCCTACTCAAAAAAATAATACCCTGAAACTTTTCAACAGCAAAAGGTCACTTATCAAATACTATGAATTTTCCGCCAGTTTGAATCTTTCATATTCTATATCATAAGTATAATTTATATACTTTTTCAATCTCTATGACTGAAATGAAAAATAAGGTGATACCTGAACTTCCAAATGAAGTCTCTTCAAGTTCCAATTGTTTTTTAGCAATAGTGCTTCTTTCTTCTACTTCTTTCTCACACTGTTCAATTGTCATCTTTCTTTGTTTTTTGAGAATATATTGTCGTTTTGTTGTATCAGAGGTACGTTTTCTCCTATCGGGTTGACAGCTGAATCTTGTGGGAATACACCCCTGTTTCATACGAATCTGCGACACTGACCCCATCAAATGATATTGCATATAGTTTTCCATATCATTTGGCAACTAAAATCGAAATAAAATACCAATTATGATACACGACAAGGATGAAAGATGAAACTTAACCTCAAAAAAGTTTGTTCATTAATGAATTTAATCCTCGACTAAGATATTACCGGTTTATAATCTACAAATTTAGGCAAATACTTACGTCGAAGTGATCTTCACAAAAATAAAGCTGAGTACTGGGTAATATTCCCGTTGATTCTCGTCTTGCAAGTTTAAGCCACTTGGTTCGTGTTGTTTTTTTGTACGGGAGGAACACAAATAACTTGTTCGGAGTTTTTATTGAAGTATTAGTACACTGAGGGACTGCACAGCACCGGTATGTTTTTGAATTCATATTTAATGATAGTTATCATCAAATTTATGGAAGAGCTTCTAGTGTTTACATGTAGTCTACTCGAACGTGACGTAACAAGCGAAGCCGTGGTATTTTGGAGTGTTTTAGCGCGAAATTTAAACTTAAAAATTTAATTGTATTTATTGAATGATCAATTTTCATTTTTGGCGTAAATACTAATATGATAGACGTTGCACTTATAATATAAAACAGTTCTAAAAAGAAATGAACGTTAAATGTTCCTGGATATGCAATTGGCAATACAACTGAAAGAATCGACCTCCAATTTTGGAACGGGCACACTTGCAGACCGGTTTCAGGCTCATTAGCCTCTCGTCAGTGCAAGATAGTGGTCATCATCGACCTAAAGTCAATGATATTCCAATGATATTCCAAATCGAAATTGTTTCAGAGTATTTAATTCCTCGTCCTTCTCTNGGTCGGATATCCAGTCTGTACCCTCTGATCAACAGAAAATCAAAAATGAGCACGAAGAACAAAATCATGATCTACAACACGATGTTCAAGCCTGTCATCATGTATGCTTCAGGCGTCTGGGGACAAGCGGCTCCGTCTAACATTTCCATTTTGGAAAGGTTGCAAAATAAGTTAATTAGGATGATTGTGAATGCTCCTTGGTTCGTGCGGAACGAAGCCATCCGCAGAGATTTGCAGCTGCCTCCATTCGGCAGTCCATCCAGTCGAGGAATGAGAAAGTTTTTGAAAGAACGGAAACTCATGAAAACCCGTTAGTTTGGGAAGCCACGGATTATGCTGTAGACGACCCCTCCCGATATAGAAGGCCCCGACACTCTGTCGAATGAGGCCCTCATGTCCCCCGTTAAAGGATGAATAGCTTTTTCATCCATCCCACCCCAGCCAGGTAGGGGTATCCCGTGAAGTGCGGCACTGATGTCTAAGGACTTCATGCCGTCATCTATCAGCTGTGTACCCATTGGTCCCTCTCAAGGCCAATAATCAGCCGAAAGGGTAGGGGAGCTGGTCTCCAAACCTGGATGAAATCAGGATGACTCGTCAGCTATCATTGACTTTAGGTCGATGATGGTCACTATTTTGCACTGACGAGTGGCTAATGAGCCTGAAACCGGTCTGCAAGCGTGCCCCTACCAAAATTGAAGGTTGACTCTTTTAGTTGTATTGCCAATTGCATATGCAGGAAATTTCGATTTGTTTACTGCCAGTTTTCAAGCATAGCCCACTGACTAATAAGAAAATATAAAACAGTATTTCAAAATTTAATTCAAGCTAATCACGAGAAAGAGAAAAATTAGAAATCTTTTCCAAAATATTTACTTCAGAGACACTACATAAAAATTGTTTAGGATATACATAAGTTACATATTATACAATTTATATACAAGTCAATGAAGTTTTGGGATTATTTAAAGTTAGATAGTGAATAGTATTAGTTGAGTACCAAGAAAGTCTTTATTTTTTTTTCTAATAATCATGAATGTTAGCAGCATCCAATTTGTTGAAGATCTGTTGTCCAAATGGTTTTCAAAGTGCATAAAGTACGTACATTTACCTTAATGATCCAGAATAATAATTTTTGTTCAACTAAAATTGAGAATTGACTTTGAAAACGTAAAGGCACAATTCCTTCATAAAAAGAGAAGAAAGAGCTGTTATTTCGAATTTTTTTAAATAATTTCTGCAGGATGAACAACTCTTCTGATCTCAAAGAATTCAAATGAAGTGGAACACCCCAGAAATATATTTCATATGCAGTCTAGACTCGATAAAAGCATTTGGCTTTGTCCTGTGTCCATCTGATCAGAGTGAATTTTGAAATTTAGTTTCCTGCCCAATGTATACTCCAAGAAACTCAATCACGTTGTTTTTGTACATCATTTCTCTCTAATACCAGTCTCATGAGTTGGACAAGTTTTTGTCTATTATGAAAATTCAAGAATATGTAATTCATATTAGATAATAGTTGATTGCAAGAACTTTCATGTGGAATTAGACATTTGTGAAATACTAAAGAGAGATGTCATCAGTATATAAGATGAGATGAGCCCCTTTATGCGAATTAAGATCAGGACTGGTCCAATAACTGATCCTTGAGAGAACCCTAAGTCAATCAGTACAGTTCTGTATAATTTTCCAGGTAGTATGATAAAATGAGTTAGTACTTGTGTATTCATTATAAAATCTTCTACAAAAGAGTTTTTTGGTGGCAATCACTTGAAAAAAACGACGTTCAGATATACAATAAAAGAAATATCTTCAAAACTATCAAATATACATAAAATCAAAATCTGTAATTTGAAAACTCTTCAATGATAGGTAAAATTGAACTCGACCCCTTGAAGAAACTACATGAAAAGTCTCTTTTACTTTCACCTCTGAGGAAACATACAAAAAATACCTTTTTTTCCCCATAGATTAATCTCTCCTAAAAATATACCCCTTTCAATTTAAGCAAGATTCTTTTGGCTGGGATTTGATCAAACAAGCGAATTAATGTCATTACGTACTGTCATCCAGTAGATTTAACTCATTTGTGACAAAGTCATAGTTTTATGAATGAATTTATTGCTTTATCTTGTTATGCTATCCAGATTGAGGCTGAGGAGGTAATAAGACAAGTGTTTTATTCCGAAACATCGATGTCCACAATTGGGGATGACAGTGTTCTATGTAAGTGAAATTTTACTTCTTTTTGGGTACAAACTGAATAGTGAGACAGTAAACATATGTTCGAGACGAGTGTACCAACATAAAAAAATCGTATCCCGCGAAATTCAAACATTCACTTTAATTTTTGAACATTCCATGTATAATTTCGTTACCTAACTTCAAGATAGGAGTTCATCACATGATTATATTATCAAAAACATTTGTTGATTAGGGAAATTAATATCTTTTGTCAAATGAACAATTAGTTTTATAATAAAAAGAGTTTCTGTATCATTTCACATTGTCCGTTGATCACAATAGAAAATCCATTATTTCTGTATTTTTCTGATCCTGTAAATATAGTTCAAAACATTTTCAAAAATTTCGGCATAATTTTTTTCTCAACATATTTATGACGCAGGTGAGGAGTTTAAAATAGAAAAAGAAGATGACTAGTAGAGAAAAATGGATGGAAATTACGTAAAAAATCATGAGGTTGTACCTTTAAAATATTATTCGTTGTTAAAGTTTTCTGGGCCAACGAGTTGCTTTGCTTTTTTGGATAACGAACAGAAATCATACATAAACCCTTACATAACACACACTAACACAATGTAGATATAAATATACAAACTTGTAAACGTTTCCAAAAGATGTGATAGTTTTCAATACTGGAATGTGGCTGATGGAATTCAATATACAAATACTTTCAGTAAAAAATTGTGTTAAAAAAGTATATCTGCGTTAGTACCAGAGCTGAACGGCTTGGTTTCTTCCACTACTTCGAGAATATTTTCTACTTCAGTCACATCGGGCTTGACAGGAACAGCGAGTTGAACGGTTCTCGTTATACCGGGTTGGAATTCTCCAGCACTTTTTGGGGTATAGTTTGCTAGGGAAGATCCTGTAAATAAATAAATAATTTGGTATAATTCAAGGTATTTCGCTCAGTAACTTTTAACCGGTCAAAATTGTCAGAAAGGAACACTTTAGGAAACGTTTCGTTCATAAAAAATTGAGTCTTCAGTTTTATATTCAACAATTATAAATGTAATAACTATATCTTTGCTTTCTTTCTCATAAGGAAGGAAGCTTGAAAAAGTGTCCAACTTTCAGCATAGGCACAGGGTATGATATGAATTAAGCAGTTATTTACTGATTCAAGTATGCTGAGTTAGCAAATTTAATATATTCAATGATTAGAGTAGTTAGTGACAAGACCTCACATGTTTACGTAGTCCAACCAATTTCGTCAATATAACCTAAAATTATTGCTGTGGTAAAACGTGGAGAAATCGATTGAATTTTCTTATCAGCTTTAAATAACATTTTTTTGTGATTTTTTAATAAATTGTGATACATTGTAAGCAATATATTCTTCATTAATTATTAACATGAATTTTTACATCTTTTTTAAAACTGACATTTATGAAATTCACTTTTATTTCTTTGCTTTTCAAGATCTTTTGTTCAAAAAAAAAGTCGCTGGGGGCCAAATCTGGAGAAAACGGTGGATGCTGAAGCAATTCGAAGCCCAATTTATGCAATTTTACCATCGTTTCCGTTGATTCAGGACTTTTATGGTGGAACAGCTTAAAACTGCTCAGAATCATTAATTCGTTGTTGTTTCTTTAGAGCCTCAGTCATCTTGATCAACTTCACTTTGCTGTCATCCAAAATTACTTTGTGGACTTTTTGTCGTCGAGAACAGCCTCTTTTGGACGTTCATTGTCTGCAAAAGCCAAGCTTTGGCTTTCACAGTATTTTTTCGCCAAAAAGCAATGCTTTATTTATATATGAAATTTCTTTTTATCAATTTTCTCCAAACTAATGAAAGCTGCTTCACTCAAAATGATTTATCCCACAAACTGATTGTCTGACAGTTGTGAAATTTGTATTTGTCTTTTAGAGGTTAGGCTTAAGTAAAAATCATAGGGTTCTGATAGTGGTTGCGCCATCTGTGTGCTGGCCTACAAACTTTTCAGCTTCTCTAGTATGTTTCTGAATAATACAGGAGAATTTTGAGCAACTTGAGTTCGCATTATTAAAAAAAAGTATACGTAGTATGAACAGTATTTTCGTGTGTGCCCTTTATTTTCTCAATCAAAAAATAAAGTATAATATTTGTATGATAATAAGTTTTGTAAACAAATAAAGTGAAACTATAGCAACTCACCACCAAGATTAGGAATTGTATGGCCAAGTTGAACTGGTGATTTCATAGAATCATCCACCATTAACGAAGTTTCTGAGGGATACTCGTAGATTTCGGGTCCATCAACAAATGATATCCTCAACTAGAAAAAAAAATCGAATTTGTATAACCATATTGGAAAACATATTGAATAGAACAAAAGTGTTTTGGAATGTTCTCATAGCGTTCATACCACTCAAGATTAGGTCCTTTCTTTTCAAGGATACTTTTGCCAGATAATGATTTCGTGTGGAGCATTAATTTTTTATTTTGCCAAGAATCATTTACCAACGCACATAGCAGTGATGATGTGCAGTAACAGCCGAAACGTCCGGGTCAGATGACGTCACACGCCGGACGAAATTATTTTGGTAGGCGCAACTTCGACTGCTCATAACTTTCTTATTTGTAGAGATATTTTGGTAATTCATTCACAGTGTTTGTTGTTCTACTTTACCAAAATTTGTATAACTAATATATAAGGAAAAAAATTAAAACTTCTCCGTTCAGTATATCGCAGTGATTAAATTGGGACATACTGTATAAATAAATCATTTCAAATCCATGTTGATCGTGATGCGATTTGAACAAAGGATGTTTGGGATAATTATATATTCTGCTATAACATACAAATATACCGTTATTCAAACAAACGAGTCACAGAATTCATCAAACGACCGGAGGAGCGGGACTTTTTTTAGGCGTAAAAAATATAAATAAAGCATTTGCTATTGTTCCGCGATTTTATTTGGCCATTAAAAACGAACAATGTCATTGTCTTGATAATGACGTTATTATTGTTATTTCATCACAAGAAACAGCTTATTTGCGAATTATTTCTAGTGAAAGTCGCGGCAAGTTGAATATTCATTTGCTTTCTTAATATTCCGATCAGATATAGTATATGGAGGTACTGGGTCTCAATATTATAGTTCTGTAATAGTGTATATTGAAAATAGCAAGAAGAGAATAGTTGGAAAATTGTTTAGGGGATTATATCGTATTAAAAAATAACCCTTCAATGTATGATTTCTAATTGACATTTTATAAGACCGCTACACGTGTTTCGCTACACAATAACATCTTCAGGCGTCACAATACAGTATTGTGACGCTCGAATTTGTGTCAATACAGTATTGTGATGCCCTAAAATGCGTCAATTCAGTATTGTAGCGCCCAAAGATACGTTAATACAGTATTGCGATGCCCGAAGATGCGCCCTTTCAGTATTGTGACATCCGAAGACGCGTCAATACAGTATTGTGACACCCGAAAATGCATCAACACAGTATTGCGATACTCGAATGCATCCTTTCAGAATTGTGACGTCCGAAGATGCGTCAATACAGTGTTGTGACGCCCGAAGATGCGTCAATACATTATTGTGACGCCCGAAGATGTGTCACTTCAGTATTGTGACGTCCGAAGATGCGTCAATACAGTATCGTAACGCCCGAAGATGCGTCAATACAGTATCGTAACGCCCGAAGATGCGTCAATACCGTATTGCGATGCCCGAAGATGCGTCAATACAGTATTGCGATCCCCGAAGATGCGTCCTTTCAGTATTGAGACGCCCGAAGATGCATCAATACAGTATTGTGGCGCTTCAAAAATGTGTCAATACAGTATTGTGAAACAGCACTTTCTTTTTCTTCAAATGAGCCGTCTTTCCGCCATTTCGTCTTTCAAACGCTCCAATAACGCTATCTTATAGTGACTGCTCACGGTTTTTTCCTTCTCAGAGATTCAGCTATCTCGATCAACTTCACTTCACGGTCATCCAACATTATTTTGTATACTTTTTTGATGTTTTCGTCGGTAAGAGCATCTTTGGGGCACCCATTGCGTGCATAGTCTTCGGTCTTTCACCACGTTTAAACTTGGCAAACCACTTCTCAACGACTGATTTTCCTGGTGCATCGAATGATGTTTATCAAGCGAAGTCTTGAGTATTTTTTTAGCCAAAAAGCAATGTTTTATCAACACACGAAATTCGTTTCTGTCCATTTTCTTCAAACTAACAAAAGTTGCTCCACTCAAAATCTTCTATCCCATAAACTAATAGTCCGACAGCTGGGAAATTTTTACACGTCTTTTGAAGGTTATAGTAGCAATATTTGTGTAGTTGGCTTCGAATTTTTCAGCCCATCTAATATTCACAGCTAGACCCTCGTTTCAAAACACCACAAAACTGCTTTACGACTGAAACTCATATTTACATCTCATTTTCTTAAATATCAATGGGATCAAAGTTAAAGTAGCTACCTATCATGTTAATATTCACAGCATAACTTTATTTCGATAGCAAAGAATATGTTGGAAACCCAAAGACACCTCAATACATACCTGAACTGATTAATTTAAAAGAAATTTCCACAGGAATTTTCTCCTCGCCCGAGAATCATTTGAAATTCAAATCACTGAGTGAACTTTAAGTATATACTTAGCACTCATATGGAGATACATCGGGTTTTTTGTCTGGGGTCTCCTCTGTTATAGTCTATGAGCCTGTGTACGTTTTGATTCTGTAATTATGTTGATTCTTTCAATGTAAAACGCAGTATTGTTGTAGAAACATGAATGAGAAATTCAAAATTAAGGATCTATAAGAGTAGAAGAGAAATGAGGGTTTTCAATAGATTGAGTGACCAAGTGAAAAACGATGAAAATATATAGGCTGTTCACGTTAAGAAGAAAATGACCTCATTTTTGGTAATTTTGTTTATCCAACATAACAACAGCAATAAAACAAACCTACTACTGATGTGATCAAATTTACGTATACCAAAGGAAAATCTCAAACAAGAGTTTTGAATTCTTTGGAGGCGAAGAGAGTCGTATTGAGTAAGTGTAAGTTAATAGTAAGTAAGGTTGATAGCAATAAAACAAATCAACTACAAAAAAATTGGAAAGTTCGAAATGGTGCACATGTTGGCAACGCCGTAACTTGTCATATTGTGATGTCATTCTCTTCTTAACGTGAACAGCTTATATTACTAAACTCTGAAGAAGCTAAGGTATACTGAAACACGTGAAAGGGCTTGCCCAAATTTGTAAAAAATTTGTGAACGGTGTAATAATTACAATTCACTATTGAAGATCATCAAATGTGGCAATGTCGCAAAAATCCCAGTACCGAAAACTGAACTAGGTATGTTAATGCTGCAACAGCTGCAAACTTGAAATAAATGACAGCAAAGAACTTCACAATCAGAGAATTAGGGATAAGGTGATTGCCTATCCCAACGGGTCTAGATCTTTTTGGTCGGTAGCTAAAGCTGTTGACCAAAATTCTACAAAATCCATAATCCTGCCACTAATACAAGCGGATGGTTCAATTGCAACAACAGCCATATAAAAAGCAAATCTACTAGCTGAACAATTTACGTCCCACTCTACAGTCGATTTTCTGAGAAAGGCCCCATCCACTATTCCCACATTAGAAACCACAATGCCGGAAATCACTTTTCGACAGCATCTAGTCAGGCGAATTTTGAAACAGTTCAATATCAACAAGGCGCCTGGCCCTGATGAAGTGCCCTTCATCGTACTTAAAAAGTGCGCCAATGAACTCGCACCAGTATTTTGCAGACTTTTCAACCTGTCTTACAAGAAAGGGGTTTTTCCTTCCTGTTGGAAGATTGCTTGCATTCAGCCTATTTCCAAAAAGGGCAAGAAAAATCTTCCAAATAACTGTATCGAAAAGACCAATTACTCAATACTCTTCATTCAACAGTTTCAGAAATACGAAAAAGTGGTCCATCAATGTGCCGCTGAGATGACTATTCATGGTTTTCATAAGTAAAAAGTTACTCATTCACATGAGAATACACAAAGGAGAGAATGTCACAAATCCAAAAAGAAAAGCATCAGCAATTGACCACCCTGGCTCATTGACTAACGAAATTACTGGAAGCAAACAGACCGGTTGACATTGGCATCACATGGCAAAACAAAAGAATTTCTGCAGTTTCAACGTTTTTGCAAGGAGTATACCAGTTTTTATTTTTCTCTATTTACTCGTACCACTTTGTGTTCACTAACAAGTTGCCTTTTGCATCGATTAGCCATTGTTCATCTACGTTCGTTGATTGAATTACTGATGCGCCCGAATGCATATTATTCATCTATCGACAATTGTTACTTTTATTGAGATTAAATTTTTTTGACATACTCAATTGTTTAATCTATTGGTAGCATTTAATACGTCTCCAGATGACGATGATTTGTTATTTTGATGTGACCTACAACTATGAACAAAACATATCTTCATGAAGATTGTATCTACGTTATTTTTATCGATCTCAATTGAATTATGATTGGTTACAGCAAGATTTACACGAATTCATTTGATTAAATAAACTTTACTTTAAAATATTTTCTTGAAGATAAAAGATTTTATTGATCGATTCGTCCGTTAGGTACTTGATGAAGGTCCATAGTCATTTCATAAACATTTTAATGTCACCTGTTTTAGCAGTTCCATATAATAAACATTTATTTTCACCGGATATCGCTTAAGTCATTTCCGTCAACTTTTCCCAGTCCCAACAAAACACAATTTTAAATTTTAATTGCATGAGATTTCAGTAGCTAGTTAATTAATCATTATGAGTTTAAGATGGTAATTTTATAAAAGGTAGCTATTGTTCCGTAAACACTGTTATTTGATACTTATTAATTAAGCAAAGTTTCGACTTGTACTATCTTTCAATTAATTCGCGAGTATTAGTAAATACATACTGAGAAATCAAACCGCTGATGATAAACGTAAGAATACATTGAGAATATCTTGGTGAGGAGGAAGTACATAATTCACCATTTTGTCTTCAGTTCTACTACACTAACCTTCGCGACGTTCGAAGATAATAAAGGATCTTTCAATAAACGATTCCTATCTTTAAATTTGAATAAAACAAAGTGTATGTGCCATTATGTGTAGAATATAACATCTTTCAAATGTCGGCCACGTTTTCTCTGGATGGAGTGCATCTGAAACGTCCAATTTTTCATGACTCTGCCGCATAAATCAGGGTGAATTTGACCTTAAGAACACCCCACAAGAGAAAGTGGACACTTCATATCACCACCACGTCAGATGACCATGCCCTTTAATCGTTCGTGCAGAATATCCAATGTGACATGAGCTGTATGGCACATAACATCGTCCCGTTGAAACCACATGTCGTTGGTGTCTAGATCATCGAATTCAGATCAAAAGAAATGTGGATCGATAAAGCCGCCAGCCCAAAATCCACACCAAACAGTAACTTTTTCGGGCTGCATTGAACCACTTGTTTGTGTTCTGTGTATCATTTTCCAACAACCAACCTCTTTGCACAAAATAAGAAATATAATAGATCGTATTAGTGAGTTCAAAAAGTGACTGAGAACCTCCCATACGAAAATATCAAACAAGTTAAGAGCATGTAACTAGTGATGTTACTTGCTTCGAGCAAGTCAAACTGTACCTCGCGACGAAGCTCCTATTATGTCATGTAATAGGAGAAGCACTGGTCAAATGCGCCTGTAAGGAAGGAACAACCATAACCAGAAGAAGAAGAAGAAGAAAAAGAAGGGTCAGTTGCCAACTGCTCCAGAGTCACCTAGCGAACACACTTCATTGTCTATTGCCGTTTACCTTCATCCTGTGTCAGTTGAATGGACGATTCCAGGCCCCTATTCAGTGTTGCCACTATATAATTTTCGGGTCTAAATCGACTGATATTTTCTAGGCCTTTTTTGGAATAATTCAAAGGCGGAACAGATAGAATTTTCGATTTTATAGATTTCTGGGTGTTCCCTGATATATGAATCGAAGTATTAAAGTTGACATGGACAAAAATAAAAAATCCTAGGGAATTTTAAGTTTGTACGTTGTTTAATAGTGGTAATCCTGTCATGGAAAGAGAAATGAAAGTTTCTATGTTTTTTACCACTTTTATTTGTAACTAACGTTACTGCAGTTTTGTCCTAAACGGACATTTTCAAAATTATACAATAAACTGTAACGTTAGTTACAAATAAAATTGGTAAAAAACGTAGAAATTGACATTTCTCTTTTCATTTTGATTTCTTACCACGTAGTAACGGCTACAACCATCAGTTTATTGTAATCCTGTCATTTTACCGTCACATGTCATATACCATATAACATTTCATTGTTGTATTCACTTATTGTTTATTGTATAATAAACCATCCAGTAGAACAGGATCGTTCTGATAGAAAAAGTCTAACCATCTTTGGAGTTCTGCAACTGAATGGTCTTCAATCAATAAATTGTCTTTCAATAGGACACCTGGAACATCCTCTGGTAATAATAATGGTATGGAAAAATATATCATACAACACCTACAGAATACACTATTGAAACGTAACTACTCGGCAAAAACAAACTGAACACTGAAATGCTGTTTGTGACAACAGGTAAACATATATAGATGACAGGTTTCGAACAATTGAACAACCTAAAAAGTAAAATTCCCTAGGAATTTTTATTTTTGTCCATAATACTTCGATTCACATATCCGGGAACATCCAGGAATCTATAAAATTACAAATTCTATCTGTTCCTTCTTTGAATTATTCCAAAAAAAGGCCTAGAAAATGTCAGTCGATTAAGTCCCGAAAACTTTATAGTGGCAATACTGCAATAGTGGTACTGGAATCGTCCATTTTGTACGGGTATAGGCTCAAGTCGTGACGCAAAATTCGCCTCGGATTCTCTTGCACACTCTCACAGGTTCGGTAGATAAAATCAATAGAGAGATCAGCTTACAAAACGACCTGTACAAAAAAAAAAGTTGAATTGATTTGAAAGCCGTTTTTACGGTATCCATAGCATTCATTTTCACTGCCCCAAAAGTTCAAGTCTTATAATGGATGTAAAGTGTGTTAAAACTCCGCTTACCAGACAGTTTACGATTTTTTAGTACATTATTTGTTTTTTTTTCTTCAAGAGAGAGTGATGTTTTATATCTTCCATTGATTGCCCGCGGTCTCTCGAAAAAAAACTTTCCAAGTTCTATCATTTCACTACGCACAGCGGAGTGAAATATTAACTTTGTCCTTTGGATTTTCTAAAAGGCTCTGTAGTATAGGCCTTGTTTTAAATACTACCTTCATACCTACTTCCTTGAAAATCTTTCCAAAGTTCTTCATATATTGGTGGTATAGAACTGAGATATATTTATCTTAGTTTTCCTCGTTTCTAAAAGTCGAGATTTCGTTCATTCTTAACCAAAACTTTTTCTTCCTTCCTCGAGAAACCGTTACTGACTGCTATTTCATGTATTGTCACTTTTTCTTTTGTAAAAACGTCAAAAGACGATGCACTAGAAAATTCAACTCAGCAGGTTTGTGCTGTCCACAGTGATGTGAACTGTTAGGAATACATCGTATTCTAGCTTTCCCCTTTGGCTCCTCATTAACAAAACGTAAAGAAATGGAAGTT